ATTAACACCACTTACCAGCAGAATCTATTTGATACATAGAGAGCACTCCACTCAACAGTTTTGTTTGTTTGTTTTCAAGTGTTCATAGGACAGAGACCATATCCTGGGCCTCAAAATTTTTAAAATAATTGGAATCATACAGAATGTGTTCTGCAGCCACAATGGAATCAAACTAGAAATCAGTAGCAGAAACATCCCCAAACACTTGGAAACTAAACAACATAATCCTAATAACTCATTTACCAAAGAGGAAGTCTCCAGGGCAATTTAATAATTACATTGAATTGAGTGAAAAGGAAAATACAACATTTCAAAAAGAGAGAGAGAGATCTTTCTTTCTTACAGCTGCATAGTATTTCATTGTGTAAATGTACCAAAGCTTTTTTATCCACTTATCTGCTGATGGACACTTGGGCTGTTTCCAGATCTTAGCTGTTGTAAATAGCACTGTATGAACATAGGGGTGCATATATTCTATTTGGTTGGTGTTTCAGCATTCTTAGAATATATTCCTAGAAGTGGAATCACTGGGTAAAATGGCATTTTCATTGTTAATTTTTTGAGAAAACTACACTGTTTTCCATAGTGGCTGTACCAATGTTCATTCTCACCAGCAGTATTCTAGGATTCCTTTTTCTCCACATTCTCACCAGCATTTATTTATCAATTTATTGATGATAGTCATTTCTGATGATTAGTGACATTGAGCATTTTTTCACATGTCTCTTGGCCATTTGTATGTCCTTTTTGGAGAACTGTCTATTTAGGTCCTCTGCCCACTTTTTAATTGGATTGTTTGTCTTCCTTTTGTTGAGTTGTATTAGTACTTTATATATTTTAGAAATTAATCCCTTATCAGTTATACCATTGGCAAATATGTTCTCCCATACAGTGGGTTCCCTTTTCACTTTGATGCTGGTTTCTTTCACTGTGCAAAAGCTTTTTAGTTTGATATAATCTCATTTGTTTACTTTCCCCTTTGTTCCCTTTGCCCTAGGTGATGTATAAGTGAAAATTCTGCTATGTGAGATGTCTGAGATTTTGCTGCCTGCATTTTGTTCTAGGATTTTTATGGTTTCATGACTTACATTTAAGACTTTTATACATTTTGAGTTTATTCTTGTGTATGGTGTAAGTTGGTGGTACAGTTTCATTTTTTTGCATGTACCTGTCCAATTTTTCCAACATCATTTATTGAAGAGACTGTCTTTACTCCATTGTATGCTGTAGTCACCTTTGTCAAATATTAATTGAGTATAATGGTTTTGGTCAATTTCTGGGTTCTCTGTTCTGTAAACAAGTACTTTCTTAAGCAGTTCTATAATTTCTCACTTTCACTGTGAGTCCTACTGAAACATGGTGATCATCTTATTATTCTAGTACCTTTGTTGAAGTAAAATACTTATAATTTATAATTCTTTCCATAGATGGGCCCCAAATGTGTATCTGGTTTATTTCTTTGTCCTTTTTCTTGTTTTATTTTTTAAGTCTTTGATGAAATTTGGAACTTGTGACTCACAGTCTCTTTGCAAAAGCTGACTTTCTTTTTATTTTCTCAATTTTTGTAAGTCTTAGGAATGGTTTACTTCTTTTATATACATATTGCCTTTTATTATTTTAAATTATTTGTCTAATATTTTGACAACATTCTTGCAATGTATTATTTTTAACTTATCTGACACTCTGCTGAGAGAAGAAATATTTTTTGAGAAAAAATTCAAATTTGTTTTGCTTCCGAAATGACTTCCTTGAATGTAAGGACATGGTACCTATATGACAAAGAAATACTAAAATGTAATTGTTAATAAATGTTTTAAAATACAAATATAAGCAGAAAGTAAAAAGCAAATTGTCAGAAGTATATATTACACAAGAGAATTAATGCATGATTCAATAAGCAGTAATTATGAGACATACTAACATGATAGAGTCGAAAAGACAAAATGCTGATTTTAATACTGAAGAAGATTTCAATCTCAATGGAGACAAAGCATAACCATATAAACCATTTAGTAAACATTTAGTGTAATGTTTCATTTTACAATATGTGATTCAAATTTACGTTATTTAAATCATTCTGGGGAAAAAAATGTTTCATCTATTTTTTCTGAATTTATTTGAAACCTTTCTTTCTTTCTTTCTTTCTTTCTTTCTTTCTTTCTTTCTTTCTTTCTTTCTTTCTTTCTTTCTTTCTTTCTTTCCCAGAAGAGTCTACTAAAACTGGCATAGGATAAAAATATGTATTATATGTATTTGGTTTTTCTTAAAGAATTATTCTCCTGTGATATAAGAAAAAGATTATGCCAAAGAGTAATATAAGGTGAATAATAGTGAAGTTTCTTTTTAAAGTAATTCCTTTCAAATTTAAGAAAAAGAAAATAAATAAATGATAGGTATTAGATTTTCTCAAAATTATGTGCAATCTTATGTGCATGTATGTTGTAAATATAAAAATATTAACTTTTATTTTTATTGAAATATATTTGACATATAACATTGTGTCTATTTATGGTATACAACATGTTAATTTGTTATATATTGTAAAATGATTGTTATTGTAGTGTTAATTAGAACCTCTATCACATGACATAATTTTTCTGTTTTTGTGTTTAGAATAATTAAGTTCTGGTTATGCACAAATATAACTTGAATACCACGCTGGAGTCATTTTTAAATAAAATTTTTCCTTATTTATTGATTTTTAGGGAGAGAGGAAGGGAGAGGGAGAGAGAGATAGAAACATGGATAAGAGAGAACATTTATTGGCCGCCTCCCACTGGGGATCGGGTCTACAACCTGGGCATGTGCCCTGACTGGGAATCCAACTGGCAACCTCTGGGTGCATGGGTCAACGCTCAACCACTGAGCCACACCGGCTGGGACTGCCTGGAGTAATTTATTTAATTTTCAGTTGACAGCACTTTTTTTCAGCTTCTAGTCACTATAGTTACAAAGGATAGGGAAATCAGTAAAAACATACTTTTTTGTCATCAAAGAAGTCCCCAACTGTTTCAAAAAGGAGATAAGCAAACAATACAGGTTATTGCCGGACACAATCGTGTGAGTAACGCAAGCACAACAGAGTGGCCAGACAAGATTGTGGGTTATGGAGGTGACAGACCCAGGAAAGCTTCCTGGAGCAGGTGATATCTAAGTTACATTTTGAAGGATCAGTAAGAATTAATCAGGTGAAGAAAGAGGCATTTTAGTCCAAGGTGCCAGTCAGTTTGGTAGCACAGTAGATTTGGGGAATCGTCAGTCTTTACAAGGGCCGGCTGCCTGAGGCACAGAGAAGGGAGTCCCTGGAGGGGGGAAGGAAGGCTACATGCAGAGTGTAGGCACTACCACAGTGTCTGTTGTTTGTATCTGAAATGGCAAATTGCAACTGGCTGCAGTCTTCCTGGTAGGCTTTTGGTATTGAATAGGTTACCTTGAAAAAGTAAGGGTCCAATATCTGACCAAATTTTTGAGATAGCAAGCACACACAATTCTCATGTACCTTCCTGTAAGTCAAGGCAGGAACACAGGGTGGGGCAAAAGTAGGTTTGCAGTTGTGAATACACAAAACAGAGTTTATACTTGCATTAATATTTATTATACAATAATATAATCATATAATAAATTAATATTTATTAATCATTATAGAATAAACTGATATGTATCTATTCTTATATAATAAATAATAATACAAGAATAAATTCTGTTTTGTGTACTCACAACTTCAGACCTACTTTTGCCCCACCTCATATAGCAAAATATAAAGATTCTTTGCAAAAGCCAATTTCGTCTCTGTTTAACTTTCTTTTCTTTTTTCCCTTAACTTTCAAATAACATGTCAAAGCAAATTATTTTGATCTGTATCTTCTTATGCTAAAAGAAAATTAATTAATTAATTAAACAAAAAACTTCGCTACCAAATTGTTTTCTTTTTTTTTTTATGAATTTTTATTTATTTTTTTGTTACAGATATTTTACCTTTTTACCCCATTGGCACCCCCCCACCCCACCCCCCCTCCACCCTGTCCCCGGCTTAGTTGTCCATGACCATTGGTCATGCACACATGCATATAAGTTCTGTGGTTTATCTCCCCTCCCCCATGCAAAAAAATGAAACTAGACCATCAACTTACACCATACACAAAAATAAACTCAAAATGGATAAAAGACTTAAATGTGACCCGTGAATCCATAAAAATTCTAGAAGAAAATGTAGGCAACAAAATTTCGGACATCATACGGAGCAGAATTTTCACTGATACATCACCTAAGCCAACAGAAATAAAGGAGAAAATGAACACATGGGACTACATCAAACTCAAAAGCTTCTGCACAGCAAAAGAAACAATCATCAAAATGGAAAGGCAACCCACTGTATGGGAGAACATCATTGCCAATGATGTATCAGATAAGGGGTTAATTACCAAATTGTTTTCATTGGCAGATTCACGAATACAATCAAATCAATGTTATGAATATTTAGAAAGCATACGCAGTGAATAATAAACACAATAGCATTTGACAATCAGAGAAATTGGTATGCTTATTTTACTTTAAATACCTGGTACCCCAGAAGATAACATACACAGGATGCAAACACTCTATCTATAGACAGTTGAAATAAAAAGGATGTTGATTAGAAGAAAAAGTCAACCTCCCCTCATCTCTCATTAGACATGACCCCCTGGAAGTCATGCACATCCTTGGGGATGCCATAGTTATAGGGAGTCACGAATAGTGTGTACAGAAATGAACCTGTTGGTTAACCATTCTCTAGTCAATTGTCAAGTGCTGTTGGTGTGTTTTAAAGGCTTTAAAGACCTGCTGCCATTTGTCTTTGGTACTGGTCCTAGCCCTGACTTTTCTGCCTCTGCTTCAATACCCAGTGAGTTTACTTTGGAAGCAGAATGACAGACCGCCACCACCACCAGCAGGTCTTCTTGAGATTGATGCAACACAGACATAGGCCTTTTCCAAGAGTTAATAAAGACCACATTTATTAAAGTAAAATAAAAATAAATAAGAAGAAGAAAGAAAGAAAAGAAATCTCATTTCCTATTGAACACTTTAGAAGAGCTTTCAGAATTGCCCGTCAGGATGGAGTTGGTTTCACAAAAGAATAAAAACAAAGTATAACTGGAGATAGCTAACTTATAACAAAACAACCTGCCAAGAGATCTTCCAAATTCATTAGATGGAAAGTTGCCCTTCATTCTTGGAGATGAAAAATGTGATCTTCCCTAAGGGACAGCTGTATCCCACATGTCTGTACTCTGCTAATCATGCATAGGCTTGAAAAGAATCAGAATCTTTTTACTTAATTTTGTCATGGCCTTTTGGCCACCACCTGCTGTGTTCCTAAAGCTCACCCCAGGAATTCTGGGGCCCCATTCTTTTCTTAATAAATTTTTTTCTCAAGCCCAGAGATTAAAGAGCCCCTTTGCTGAGTATAAGCAGAGCGAAGGTTGGGGGAGCTCTACAGCTGCTGGAGGGGTGCACTTCATGTCTGAATGACAAACTGAAAGCAGCTGTAGGCCTCTCAGAGGTCTTTTGGCACAGAGTACAAACAGGTCACCCCAGGAAGTGAAAACTCTCATTAGGTTAGAATGTTCCGTGTTCCCCATTTGACAATCACACACGTTCTGCACACTGCTCAGCTCTGCAGTAGTCTAAAAAAAAACAGTGGTTATGTTCACAGGCAGAAAAGTAAGGAGAAAAGCAAAAAAAATCCCATTAGTAACATTGAGTTTCCAAAAACCAACCCTTTGGATCATAGGGAGAATAGCACTGTTTTATTTCACTTTACTTAGATAGATTTCTCTATACGAGGAAGGCATAGTCAATAATTCTAGATAATATAAAAATCTAGTGATTACTCTGGGACTGCCATTACACTAACAGCGACCTAATATTTTATTGATCCATAAGCAGACTTATTGCAATATTAAGAAAAATGGGATAGAGCAAGAAAGTTGCTAATCCAAGAAGTCCTGAAAGTTCTTCCTTGAGCAGCCATTACTTCCTGTGTGACTTTGAAATTGTCATTTACATATTTTGCTCAAGTCATTCAAAGAACATTTTGTAAATGGTCAAGCAAAATTGGCAAAACAAAAGCTAAAATTCAAGCCTTTGAAATGCAACTAACCTTCACTTTCATTGAAGCTCTTGACTTAGTAACAGATTTCATGCATCTAAGAATGACTAAGACCTAGAGATGGTATGGAATTCACAATATACTAGACTCCTATAATGAATTGCATTTGGAAATAAAGATTAGATTAAAAATAAAAAATTAGTGCAATTCCAATTCCCATTTAAAATTTCAAAAGGTGAGGAAAAGAAATCAGATATCCTGTTATAAACTCCAAAAGAAGGAGGAAGAGAAGAAAGAGGAAGAGAAGGAAGAGAAGAAACAGGAAAACAAATACTTGAGGTTAAAATTAAGTTAATCTGTCATGCCATTTTAATACACTGGAATAGTAGTTTCAAAGTATAGTCCCTGGACCACAAAGACCTGTTAACTTATAAGCAAAGCCCATCTTTAGGCTCCACCCCAGACTTACTGAATCAGAGACCTTGGTTGGCAGGGGTCCTGTGCTTTAACACAATTTCCAGGTGATTTTGATGCACACTAAACTTTATGAACTACCACTACATTCTAAATTCTATTAATTAGTACTATGACTACCACTCTTGAACTAACAGTTGGATTTAATTAACGAGTGTTAGGTGATTGAATAAACACATTGTCTAAATGGAATTAAACAATATTCAGGGGGTGCGAGAAGAGATGTACCAAACCATTTAAATACATATATGCATAACCCACAGACACAGACAATAGTGTGGTGAAGGCCTAGGGGGATTGGGAGTGGGGTGGAGGGGGCCAATGGGCAGAAAATGGAGATCATCTGTGATACTTTCAACAATAAAGATAATTTTTAATTGATTTTTTAGAGAGAGAGAGAAAGAGAGGAAGGGATAAATAGAAACATAGATGGGAGAGAAATGTCGATTGGCTGCCTCCTGCACACCCCCCACCGGGGATCGAGCCTGCAACCAGGACATGTGCTCTGACCTGGAATGCAACCAGAACCTCTCAGTCCATGAAATGACACTCAAGCTACTGAGCCACACCAGCCAGGCATAAAGATAAATTTTTAAAATTTTTTCAGGAATGTAAGGAGGATACAAAAAAAAGATTGTTATTTTATTTTGGATTATGTTATTTAAATTTACATCTGTAGATAAAGTATTTTAAACTTTCTAGATCAAGGGGATGGGGAGAAGAGAGTTGGAGAGACACTGACCTCCAACGAGTTTGAATGCCAGGACCACTTGGGGGCCTTTTTTAAGCTAAACACATCTCTTTCCTTCTTATCCATTGAAAGTCTCTGCCACAGTGAGCCATTCTATTGACTGAATAATTTTTATATCATTCAGATGAGTTGAGGTGGAAATAATGTTAGAACCCACGAAATTCAAATAGAGCACTAATAATAATTTTTAAAATCTGAAAATCATCTGAGACCTCCTTTGTACCAACATTGCACTGAGAACTGTAACAATTTTAGCTTCAATCTAACAACCCTTTATTGAGGATTATCACATTTCAAGTTCAAACTATGATGTGAAGAGATTAAATAAATTATGCAAGGCTTCACACTTAGTAGCTGGTATGGTTCGGATATTAAGGACTTGAGGAGCCTAGCCCAGAACCCATGTCTTTTTTTCTTAGACACAGCATTTGGGGTTTGGTAGATCACTTATGACTAAAGATATAGGATTAGTCACCACTGATACCTGGTAAGTAGTTGAAGCCTCTACATAAGACAAAAGTTCTTACTGATGAGAACTAAGGACACAAGTCTAGGCAATGCCAACATTTAAGGGCCAAGTTGGGGTCATCAGTCCTCTTAGTTTGCCCAGGACTGAGTGGTTTCCTAGAAAAGGGAACTTTCAGTGCCAAACATGAGATAGTTGCCAGCAAGATGAGACGTTTGGTCATCCACAGGTGGCAAAATACGAGACAGCAAAAGACAATAAGGAGCAATGGGAGAGCCAGAGCATGGAGCATGGTATCACAAAGACTGAGGCCATGTAGAACACCCAGGAAGAGTAAATTCTCATGAGTTTCAATGGCTTCAAAGACGTCAAGTGTTATGAGGATGGAAAACACTCATTAGGAGAGCATTACAGGCCTTCAGAGAGCATTTCAACCAAGTGGTGGAGTCCAAAGCCAATGTGTTGCCTTGAAGAGAAATAGTTGATGGAGAAGAGAGCCAAGCAGTTGCAAACTACAAAAAGAAACAAACATAAATTCAAGAGAAAGGCAAAATTAGAGGAAGATTGTAGTCTGTGTGTTAAAGATTAGGAAGATATAAGCACATTTTTAAACTTGTCAGAGACAAAGTAAAGAGATTAGTTTCAATGTTGGAGAAGAAGACCCATGGTTAGAGTAACATACCAGAAGAGATAATCATGGAAGCAACCTTGCCCCCTTTATAAAAAAAAAAAAAAGCAATATGTATCAAATAGAATCTGAGGTTTCAAAAAATCAAAACCATGGGATGTTTGTTATAAGCCATTCTCTGTAACAAGTACACTTACTTATGCTATCACATTGAACTCCGGTTGAAGTAGTTCCTCTCAAGAGAATTTTAGTGGTGGAAGCACCTTAAAGTTAATATATGTTTTCTTGAGAACTACAAATAAATAGATCAGAGAAATTGACTATACTAGAAACATTATCATGTTTCAAATGATTTCTTTACACTAATTAGCAAAATTCTCTCTGATGGTTTACATGTTTATATAATCATTAGTCAAATCTTATGAAAACTGTAATTTGCCTTTGCTATTCACTGTTCAATGCCTGGAAGACTTGTCCTGTTTGTAAATGGTTAACATTATTTTCTGTTTAATTTGTTTCAACTTAAAGCTACACAGATGCGGTAAGATGACCTCAAAAATTTTATCTGTTGTCTTCTAGTTCTCGCACACTTCAGAAGAGTTAAAAAAAAATAACCTTATATATATATATATTTTTTAAAAGTCTTCAGCTTGATACAAAATTATTTGTTCAAGTGTTAAGGCCTATGCCATCTAAATGCAGTCTAAGATTTATACTAAATAAAAATTGAAATTATTTTATTCATATAAAACAGGAATGGAATCTCAGGACAATGTCTGAGAACTATAAATTATCTACAAATGCTCACCAAAAATGAACTCAAATAGAAAGATTCCATAAAGTAGACAAATAACTCAGTGCAATTTCTGGCACATAGCAGAGGCTAAACAAAGGGTAATTCCCCTCAGTTTAGAGATGACACACCAGTTTATGAAACTTTTCTAATATGGAGTCAGTGATTTATCTTAAGTCTGTTCCCAAACTCATCAAGAAGTAAACTCCTTGCACAAAAACAAAAGTCCATATCAATTTTTTCCAGAGAGTGTTTTCCCATTTATAAGTATTTGTACACCAACATACCTCATTCTGTCAAGTCAATAGTTTCCAATATTTTAGACCTTTGGTCAATACTATCGATTTTGGATTAAAGGCCATAGAAACCACAGAGAGCAAATATAATATTTTTAAAAATAGTTTGGGTAAATGCTAGCATGGTTATAAAGCTTGAGGAGAATAATACCTAATGTTTTTTATAACGGCAATAGTAGTGATGTCAATATTAAACAGTACCTTAAGTTATAATAATCATACTGATAAATTAGTATGTGTATGTTATTAACATTTTCTTCTTAATATAATGGTTCAGAATTGCTGAATGGTCTATACCCAAGAATTCCACAATATGTTAACTACTGGATACTGCCAGCAATGGACATTTTAAGACCACACAAAACTACAGAGGTCAACTGCAAAGATCAAAGAATCAACTGGTGATTAATTCATAAGTAAAGTCAAAGGGCTAATTTGAACTTAATATTTACATACTAGACCAATTGTTTGACTAATGAAACTGATTTGACTGATTCAGTAGCCTGAAGGGAAAGACTCAACAGTTTACCACTTAAATAACAACTACCATGGCCGTGGTTCCTATATAAACAATCTGTTTTATTTGATATGGTGTACACAACAGTATAAGACTATAAATCATTATTATTTGTAATTAAAATATTAAATCAGAGAAACCCCTTGATTCTGGAGATTTATGGCTTACTTTTAATGATTTGAGGTATTCAAGTTAAAATTGCAAATGTATGTCTATAAATACTAAAAAGTATTTCAACTAGGGGTCTATAGATAAAAATAGAGTTGTAATGTCAATGAAACACTATGGATAGTAAATGCACAAAAGAAAGTACAGCCCAAATGTATAAAATATTTTAAAACTCACATTTTCTAATATTCCAGTAGATTCCAGCACGTATTTGCTCTCTATGACCATTCACACTGTCATTCATTCAAGAATCACTGCTTGCCAGCCCTGAGTTCCAGGCTGAGGGAAATGAATGGGTGAGTGCCACTGTCAGGAAGCCTTGATTGACTGGCAACCAAGTAGATAACAACGAAGTTGTAACACATAGAATAAGAAAGGAAACCTATCAGAAAAGCCATCTGAATATATAATTGAGTTAAGGGAAGTCCCCAGCTAAGAAAAATTATGGTTAAGAATTTTGCTAAACAAATCTGAAATAAGTGTAATAAGAAGCATGTGTGTTATATTACACCCTGTCCTCCAAAAGAAATGTCAGAGAACATCAAAGCCATAAATTTTCATAGGTATTTTTGTTGGGACACTAAGTTATTTTAATATTTTGCAACCCCATCTGTTATAAATCTTAGAAAATATTCACTGGATAATCCTTCTTTCATTAATAAAAGAGCTGCCAAAATGGTGTTAATTCTCAAAATGGTATTAATTACCATTATAAAATATTATAAAATTTGTTATTAAAGAAACGCTCACTTCCCTAACTTTTCCCCAAAATCACAAGTACCAAACTTTAGAAATTAGATAATACAGCATTATAGTGGTGGTAAAACTGAAGTGACCATAGGATTTACATGTATTTTTCTTTCGGAGAAAGGGATTGAGTTTTGGTAACACTAAAGCACAGCTTCTTCTGCCCTGGCCAGTTTGGCTCAGCAGTTAGAATGTTGGCCCACAGACCAGAGAGTCTTGGGTTTGATTCCCGTCAAAGGTATGTACCTGGGTTGCGGTTTGGTCCTCAGCCTGACTGGGAGGCAACCAATCGATGTGTGTGTCTCTCTCCCCACCTCCCACTCTGTCTGAAGATAAATGGGAAAATATTCTCGGGTGAGGATTAAAATAAATAAATAAATCATAGCTTCTTTCAAGGAAGCAAAGAGCTTCCAGCATCTGATGTATTTTTTTTTCTTTTTTCAGCTTACACCCCTTGCTACCTAATTATATCTTATGGAAAAATCAATTACTCCTCTTTCTCTCCTTGAGTCGTTCTCCTTCTCATCATTGTATTCTATCCCCCTAGTGATCCTTCATGACCTTCCGAAACAAGTTGTGGTATAAGGTACAAGAAACTTAGCTCATCACCTGGCAGTGCCATTTACTTTGTTACCTACTCATTTTCCTTCTCCTTGTATGAAAAAAAAAAAAAAAAAAAAAAAAACCCTAAAATGTCCTTGGTAGTCTATCAGTAGGGCTTGAGACTATTGTTTATAGTTGTCAATCCCTTTCAAATTTTTTTAGAGAATTTTAAGGGCTCAGTGTTGATCTGGAATTGTCCCCACACCAGACAAGCTGTCCAGAGTTGATGAAAAATCCCAGCATCCCACTACTGCTATTGCTTTGTGTTGTCTCATGACGCCAGTGTTTCAAGCTAGTTCTCTTAGCAACATAGATGCTAATAGGCTTAGAATGTGCTCAAGTATAAAGGCTTATTGTCCCATCTTCCATTTCCGGGGCTTGAGGGAGGGCAATCCATTGCTTTGCAGGTCTGGCTTACTCAAGTAAGCTGACCTCACTTGGGTTCTAGTGTCACAAATCTTAGCTCTCATGTTATTTTTTTAAATTTTCATATGTAGCTATTCCTCTGGGTGTCATCTTTATCACACTTGGAATCTTTGTCCTCTTTTCTTCCTCCTGGTTGCCATCACTACCAGGAAATGGGCAGTTTTCTTTCTTTCCTTTTTAAGCCTAATTGCAAAGTGTTGGCCATACCTTGCCTGACTTGTACTCAACCTCTGAGGACAGCTACCCAAGGGCTGTCTTCAGGGGCCGAGCATCTGTCTGAAAATCTCTCTTTTTTCATTTGTGTGCTCTGTTGGACTCTGCAGATCCATCCAGCTCCATCCCACTCCAACTTTTCCCATCCTTCTTTAGTAAGTAGAACTTTATTAACTATATTAACCTGACTCCTTTGCTCTCACCTGCATGGACAAGGCAATGGAGAGTATGGCAGCCATAGAAATGCACCTCTCAGATCTTCAACTACAGGGAGTATAAGGAACTGACAGCCCTAGTTGGCACACTCTGAAATTCATTACCACTTCAGTGTCAAGGGCACACTTCCTTTGTGCTACTCCTACGCTATCATTGAACATAGCAGAGAAACTAAGTTGATTCCTTCACATTAGACCTAAGACTCCTCTAATTAATGACTTTGGCTTGAGGACTTCCCAATGGATTTTTCAAAACTTTATTAGAATTTCATTATAGTCTGACTTGTCCTACCAAATCTTTCTTCTTCCCCTCTCTCTACAGGTGAGATGTGAGATGGTGGTCTGACAAGTTTCATAGCTCCTCCAGTTCTCTCCCTTTTTTCCCCCACAGGAATTTTTCCCCAATAAATTTACTGCATGTCTCATTCCATCTTGGTATCTGCTTCTTGGAGAACCTGAAGTGATAGAAAAAAAGAGATAAAAAGTTAAGGGTATTCATTTCCCTGCCTTCTTTCCTGTTGGGTCACAGATTGGAAGCTCCTACTAGGTAGCTCTCTTTAGCAGCCGCAGGTTTTCCTGTGTCCTGGTAACTTTTCAGTCCACTTCATCTTTGAGACTTAAGAATAAGTAGCAGCTTCTTCCTGATGCCAACCCTGGATGCTTCACCACTTCACCATCCCTTGTTAGTTACCTTTAACCTCGAACATATCTTTGTCTTCTTATTTAATTCTCTTCAATCACCCCTTTCTTTTCTTTTTATTTTGATATATTTTGAAAAGTAAAGTAACAAAATAATGCAAAAACCCTTGTATGCCTTTTACTCATATGCTACAGTGTTTATTTAATGTCATACACATTGGCGTTCTCTCTTTCTCTCTCAGTATAACATTGTAATATATTAGAATACATATAATATAATAAAAATTTATCGTTGATAACAACACTCTGTAATCTTAGTTTTGGGTAATTTGAATGTTCTTTAAGTGCTACTAAACAGTTGATTAGCGAAAATTTTTCAGGAATCACTATAAGGTGTTAATATCATTCAATAATTTAATTTTAAATGGTTTAGATGAGAAAAACTTTTTTTAAATTTTTTTCTTTATTAATTTCAGAGAGAGAGGAAGGAAGAGGGAGAGAGAGATAGAAACATCAATAAGAGAGAATATTGACTGGTTGCCTCCTGCATGCCCTCCACTGGGGACTGGGCATGTGCCCTGACTGGGAATCGAACTGTCAACCTCCTGGTGCATGGGTCGATGCTCAACCACTGAGCCACAGTGGCTGAGCTAAATGAGACAAACTTTTAATAAATTTAGTAAATTCTGTGAATTTGTGTTCTTCAAATTTATTTACATATATTTTTTAATTTATTGGGGTGACATTGGTTAATAAAATTATATAGGTTAGAGGGGTACACTTATACAATACATAATCTGTATATTGTATTGTGTTCACCACCCCAAGTCAAGTTTCCTTCCATCACCATTTATCCCCCTATTACCCTCCCTTACCTATCCCCACCACCCTTTCCTTCTGGTAATCACTATACTGCTGTCTGTCTATGAGGTTTTTTGTAAAATTTTTTGCTTAATCTCTTCATCTTTTTTTACCCCATCCCCATACAGGCTCCCCTCTGACAGGGGTCACTCTGTTCTGTGTATCTATGAGTCTCTTTCTATGTTGTTTGTTTGTTTTGTTCACTAGATTCCACAAGTAAGTAAAATCATATGGTATTTGTCTTTTTCTGACTGGTTTATTTCACCTAGCATAATACTCTCCAGGTTCATCCATGCTGCCCCAAAAGGTAAGAATTCTTTATTTTTTATGGCTGAGTAGTATTCCATTGTGTCACTATACCACAGCTTTTTTATCTACTCATTTATTGATGGGTACCTGGGCTGCTTCCAAATCTTGGCTACTGTAAATAACGCTGCAGTGAACATAGGGGTACATATATATTCTTTTGAATTAGTGTTTTGGCCTTTGGATAAGTTCCCAGAAGTGGAATTGCTGGGTAATAAGGCAGCTCCATTTTTAATTTTTTGAGGTAACTTCACACTGCCTTCCACAGTGGTTGCTCCGATCTGTATTCTCACCAATAGTACACAAGGGTTCCCTTTTCTCCACATCTTTGAATCACTTGTTTGTTGATTATTAATGATAACCATTCTGACAAGATCAAGGTGATATTTCATTGTGGTTTTAATTTACATTTCTCTGAAGATTAGTGACATTGAGCATCTTTTCATATGTACCCCATTGTATGTTCTTGCCTCTTTTGTCATATATTAATTAACAATAAAGGCATAGATTTATTTCTGGGCTTTCTATTCTGTTCCATTAATTTATATGCCAGTACTTTAAGCTAGTTAATTGATTTTTAGCTATAAACCTAGCACCTGCTGCTCTAAGAATCCAATAAGAAATTTTGTGATCTCTAAAAAAAAAAAACCTCAATTTTGCCTCAATTCTATGATGTTTTAGGCTATGTTTATACAGAATCAAAATACCTAGACATGCCAATGAGACAATTGTTCAATTCTTAAAAATATATCAAATTAATTCATTGTTAAATGTTTTATAAAATGCAGGAATTCCATATATCCCATCCAAATGTTCACTGTAAATTCAGTCAAAGGTATTTCTGCATTCTGGTAGAAACTACTACTAAAAGAAAATACATAGAAATAATAAAGAAAAATAAGAGAAGGGGGTGGGGTAAAGAAGAAGGAGGAGAATAATTAAATGTGTCTTTTTACCTTTGTAACCATATTTGATTATTCCAGCAACTCCATAAGGCATTTACAATAGTTATAACCTTATTTCCCAGACAGAGAAACTGAAACTGAATGAATTTAACTTACCAAAGACTACTTAGGGTCAGAATCTTAAAACATGCAGTCAGAATTCTAAAACAGCCGAGTCAGAATTAAAATAAAAAAGGACATTTGGATCTCATACCTCATTCTAGTGTGTAACTCCTAGTTTAACAAACCACACCTCTTTCTTTTATCTTTTATACCTAGACTCTCAGTTGGAAATTTTAAAAATTCATTTTATGTTCTCTGTGGGATATTGAAATGCTAAGGCTTTGGAAAATATTACATATCCCGTGTTCCCCGTAATTATGTTAAAATGTCATGGTTGACACTTTTCATAAAACTCTAATATAGTACCCAACTAGAAAAAATGTATCTGAGGTTTAGACTCTGGAGCAGGCGTGGCCATGGCTCAGAGCACCAGTCTGCAGTCAGATGCCTGAGTCAGAGCCCTTGCCTCAGCTTCTGGGGCAGGTGACTCAGCCTCCCTGAGTCTATTTTCCCATCTCCAAGTGGATAAATAGTAATAGTACCAACTCGCAGGCTGTTGTGAGAATCAAATGAGTTATCCATAAAAAGAACTTCGTATGCTTTCTAATAATCACTCAAAAAGCTTTGGCTTCTAGCTCTGCTTTAAAAGGAAAACTTTTTAAATTTTATTTTGTCTAAGAGCATGGACACTGAAACCCAGTACAATATAACTCCAAAAATATACACCGTTAACAGACAGCATGAAAAGTTCATATTGTTCCAAAAACAAGTAAGTAGATTTTTAGTGATACCCATATCCCATGGCGCCACGTTCAAACACATGGAGCATATTACGTAAGACTATATTGGATTAAAGGTCTTCTGTTGTGTAAGAGCATTTGTGTGTGTGATTATAGACATTCCTTTTCTCTAATCCCATCTGCATTATTGTCTGGACAGTGTCATCAGTGACATAGCTCAGAATTTAGTCCAGATGGAAGCAAAAACATTTTTTACTGGTTTAGTGCAGGAAATGCCATAACAGAAACATATTTAATATGAGAGATAGAGATAGGAGATTCCTTTGAGGCTAAACCAAGCTTGGATAATTTGCAATACAAATATCACTGTTCTTTTCATGCCCTACCTTTCCAGTTATTGCAAAAGGTCTCATTCCTAAGCTTAGTAAAGACAGTGTTATTAAAAATGAATAAATAACAGCTCTACATTATCATCCTGTGTCATCATCAATGGGAGATGAGAAGAAAGTAAAGTGTTTTTAGAATGTTGCCTATAAAATCTAAGACAGGAGTTTTAATCTGAACATCAGTCCAGAAGAATTGCACACCAATAAAAAATATAGCCCAGTATTGAAGAAAAGTAAAAATATTTTAAATGTTATTTTAGTAGTAGTATACTATAATATAGTATGCAGCTATGGAGCTATGCAGCTGTAAGAAAGAAAGATCTCTTATCATTTGAGATGGCGTGAAACGACCTGGAGAGTATTATGCTGAGCAAAACAAGCCAAACAGAGAAAGACAAATCACATGATCTCACTTATTTGTGGAATATAATAAACTAAACAAATTGATGAACAAAATTGACCCAGATACAGAGAGGCAGAATACAGATTGACAAACCCCAGAAGAGGGGGTGTTGGGGGGGAAGAGATAAACCACAGAACTTATATGCATGTATGCATGGACAATGGACATGGACAACAAAGCTGGGAAAGGGCAGTGGGTATGGGGAGGAGGGTGTCAGTGGGGGGAAAAGAGAAACATCTGTAACAAAAATAAATTAATAAAAATAATTTAAATAAATAAATAAAATAAAATGTTGTTTTAGTGTTGACAGAATACACACATTTAATGCTTCTTCATCTCTTCCTTTGTTACCCCATTAATCTTTAGCTATTTCTTAAACAATGTAGTAAATTAACTGTTGTTTACCTCTATTACCTGTGTACATAAAAGAGTCCATTCCTAGCTCTCTAGTAATTAGGCAGGGCCATGCAACTGCTTCTGTCTGGTAGGCTATGAGCAAAAGTGATTTGCTTTAATCCCTGACCAAAGCATTTAATTGCAGGTAAAAACTCTCTCTCCCTCTCTCTCCTTCTTATCCCCTCCATGAGTTTCAGAAAGAATAGATGAAAGATGCTGGAGCTTCTGATAGCCACGGTCCATATAAAGCAGGGTCTCCCACCAATCCAAATAGGACTGCAGCACCACTTATTTATGTTAAGTCACTGAAATTTGATAGCGATTACTAGAATGTAACCCAAACAACCCTGCCTAAAGCAAGCAAGAATCAATATTTGTCTTCCAGAGACTTGGAATGACTGTTGAATTCTTCTCATTTTACTATTATTAGTAGAAATGAAACCATCTACATCCATACAGTGTGCTGTCTTCAATAATGTAACACTATTCTTGGGCCGTCTTCATCAACATGACTTTTCTAAACCAAGAAACTTTGCCCTGTAGAAAAAAAGTTGCAAATAACTGTACTGTTAATTTCCAAAATTTTCTGACCATCTGTCTGAGTCCACATCAAACTGCTCAACTTCTCAATTGATACCATCTAATCACTGTTTACTCTCCAAGACTCTCTTTGAAACCCTTGCCTCCAAACCTTTGTGTTCTGTGCCCATCGATCCT